ATGTGTTGTGGCTTTTTGATGTGTTGTGGCTTTTTAATGTGTTGCGGCGCTTGCATTTGTGTTGTGTTGTTTGTGATTTGCTGCGGCGTTTGCATTAAAATAGAGTCACACGGTGTTACGGCCCAGCCTTAGTTGTAATATTTTCTTGCAGAAGTTCTCTTGATTCCTGCTGCAGGAGTCCTGGTCAGTGATTGGTGGGGAGCAAGTCGGACGCCCACTTCACCTGCAGCCACCTCCCCCTATTTAAGGAGATTGCAGCACCTGTTCAGGGCTGCTGGCTTTGGTGGCCAGTTTGCCATTTTGGTTTTTGTTTTGTGTGTTAGTCTAGTTCTGTTTTGTGCCTTTTTTGATTTTGTCACTCGATTCTGTTTGTGGGTTTATTGTGGTTTAATTTGGAACTTGTGTTTTAGTTTAGTGTGTGTCCCTAAGTTTTACCACTCGTTTTTTGTATAAGCCTGCGTGACCCGTTTTCTGGCAAAAACTCTGTTTATTCTGTTGTTCTGTTCTTAGTTATAGGTTGTTTTCTGTATATTTTTAGTGTTTTGTTAATTACCTTTTACATTCCTGTTAATTAAACATTACTTAATTTATTCCATTTTACATCTTGGTTTTATTTTGTTACTTCCTTCACCCAAACGAGCTGGGTCGTAACACACGGTCATTTCCGTTGTGGCTTTTTTTGGTTTGTTGTGGCTTTTTGTTGTGTTGTCGCATTTGCGTTTGTTGCGACCCCTCTCGGTTTCCGTAATTTTGACACCAAGTTATTCTTATAATTCTCATCCAAATCTTATGGCTAAAAACAAAAACATATTTCTCGGACACATCTACAATCAGCGAAATTACCTTCAAGTAAAAAAAAAAAAAAAAAAAAAACTGTGAAGGTTATCTTTTTTTTTTTTTTTTTTTTTTGTTATTGCCCAACTTGTGTCTTGTACATTTTAAGTTACTTAATACTTAAAAAAAAAAAAAACTGTGAAGGTTATCTTTTTTTTTTTTTGTTATTGCCCAACTTGTGTCTTGTACGTCTGAAGTTACTTAATACTTAAAAAAAACAAAAAACTGTGATGAGATGTGCATTATCAAATATTATTATCATTGTGAACAGCGCCACATACAGGTGTGGCAGATGTATTACGCCGTTTTTACTCACTGCTCCGTTGTCGACTGGACGTGAATATTTATTGATCCGACACGTGTGGACGCAAAGTTTTTTCAACCCGCAAAAAAAATAAAAAATCCAAGAGTGTTGTTGGATTGTCTTTCCTAACAAAAATAACTTCTTTAACTCCCCACTCAAACCAGTTTAGATTGATGTTAAGAAGAGGTCCACCGATGAACTTCCACTTTATTAAGCTCCTCGAGTAATTTAGTGAAATCCCTTTTGAAGACTTCACTCCACTAAAAATAAAAGATCACTTTAATAAAGGAACACAACTCCAGGTCTGTTTTTAATGAGGTAACTCGGCTAAAAACTCACAAACTCCATTTTGCATAATACAGATCCTTTAAGTACCAGATCTTGCCGTAACTCTACCAGATTTTATCATTTCTAAAGTAACGAGCAGGTGATCTGTAAACTCAGGACACACCGCCCTCTGCTGGTGTGTTGTGAAACTGCATTAAAAGTAACTTCTGCAGAAAATAAAACGATTTAAGCACAAAAGTCGATAGAGTCAAGTTTTTATGTTGTGTTTTTATTCAGTCTCTGGGTCTGAACCGACCAATCACAGCGCAGGATTTCCTCACATGACCAGTCCTGAGGTTTTGTTACAGTGAAGAAATTTAGACCACAGAATCTGGACCTGTCCCCAGCTCAGGTTAAACTATTCAGACTTTGCAGTGAGATCACGATGGGGTGTTCTACATGTCTGTCTATAGTGGAATGTTCAGCACTAATCAAGACCAAGACCAGTCCAAGACCACAGGGTCCAGAGACCAGAACAAGACCAAGACCTCTGAGGATCGAGACCGAGACAAGACCAAGACTTTTAAAGATCGAGACCGAGACAAGACCAAGACTTTTAAAGGTCGAGACCGAGACAAGACCAAGACTTTTAAAGGTCGAGACCAAGACAAGGCCAAGACTTTTAAAGGTCGAGACCGAGACAAGACCAAGACTTTTAAAAGTTGAAACCGAGACAAGACCAAGACTTTTAAAAGTCGAGACAAGACTAAGACTTTTAAAAGTCGAGACAAGACCGCGACTTTTAAAGGTCAAAACCTGAGACAAGACCGAGACTTTTTGAAAAGTCGAGACTGAAACAAAACCAAGACTTTAAAAGTCGAGACCAAGACAAGACCAAGACTTTTAAAAGTCGAGACAAGACCGAGATTTTTAAAAGTCGAGACGGAGACAAGACCAAGACTTTTAAAAGTCGAGACCAAAACAAGACTGAGACTTTTAAAAGTCGAGACAAGACCAAGACTTTTAAAGGTCAAGACCGAGACAAGACCAAGACCACATCGCATTTCCTACATTTATTTGTATTTTACAGTTATTTTGGCACAAATATATCAATGTTTTAATTAAACTATCTCCAATTGTTCTGATTAATGTTCATTTAAGTTTAAAATAGGCCAAGCAAACTGTGCTGCACTGAAACACTCTTGTGCCCCTTTATTGGACCCTGACCCACAGTTTGAGAACCTCTTCTTTACTCCCACTTCCACTGGCACTTTACACAAAACCACTTTGAATCAAGTGGGTTTTTTTCAAGTCCATAACATTTACAGTTACATTATCTCACTGGTTTTGCGGTGATATTGAGCCTCTGCACATTTACCAGCTGTAATGAAATCGCACTAGTCGAGCTTCAGACCTTGAGTCAGAAACAAGACCAAGCCCGTAAAAAAGCGGTCTCAAGACCGGTCTTGGTCAGATTAAAGTGTAACCGAGCGTCTGACAGAGTAGTGCCTACAGTTAGCATCACAGCCCCACGTTGGTGACACCAGCTGCAAAATATCAACAGGGAATCTACAAATTAGAGCTTCTACTTCAAACTTACAAACACATTTTTACGTATTCAACATTGTATTTTTATTCTAATTTGGGGTTTCGTAAAAGTCCATGAAAAACTGAACAGACATTTGAGCTCCAGGAGCAGAAGTGGGCGGAGCTCTGCGGAAAAAAAAAAAAAATCTTTATAAATATTACAGTTTGAGGCACTTCACACGTCACAAAAGTAATAATTACAATCAACTACACACCCATAGACTGGATAAAGGGAGGGCATCTGGAGTAAAAATGAAACCTGACGTACGTTCAACACTGCACAGATCAACACTCGTTTAACTGACTTGGATTCAGAACGTTTCTCAACAGTCTGGAATTGTTCCGGAAAAGTCCTGTTCAGTTCTGGTTCAGTTCTGACCTCAGGATCACGGACTGGTTTGTTATTAATGTTCATATCTCAATTTAGGAACATTTTAAGGATTTTAAGATCAAAATGTCGTAGTTCGCAGCTGCAGCGACAGAACGAGGGGCGAAGATTTTTCAATAGAAAGTGAATTGCAACCAGAACTCAAAGGAACCACTTCACTCCCGCGCTCACGTCCTCTTTGGAGCATTAGTCGGTTTATATACAGTCTATGCTCCAGGGTCGAGAGCAGGGGTGGACAAACTACGGCCCGGGGACCATATACGGCCCTTTAATCTTTTTAATCTGGCCCGCCGACTTTGAATAATAAGAATAATAAGAATTTTAAGTGTTTGAAAGTAATTTCAATACATAGTAAATACCGTGGTACGACGGAGTATAAGGCTCAGATAAAAAAAAAAAAATGATGTTGGCGCTACGAGAATAAAGTCGTAACATTTCAACATTAAAGTCGTAATATTACGAGAATAAAGGTGTAATTTTACAAGAATAAAGTCGTAATTTTACAACGATAAAGTCATAGTCAAAATAAAGTTATAATATTACGAGAATAGGCTGGTGCTCTGGAGAATTTGGAGCATTTTGTAAAGGAGAAGAATCCGTGTATCGTTCGTTCATTCGACTGAACCAGGACTGAATCAGGACTAAACCAGGTCCGGAACCAAACCAGAGATAAGACCAGGATTGAGACCAGGACCAGACCGGGACAAGACCAGGACTGAGGCCGGGGCCAAACCGGGACTGAGACTGGGACTGAGACCGGGACCAGACCAGGACTGAAAACGGTTTAGTCCTGGTTTAGTCCTGGTTAAGCCCTGGTTTGCGATGCGGGACTATTGCGCCGCATACGGACTGAAACCAGGACTGAACCAGGACTGAACCAGGACTAAACTGTTTTCAGTCCTGATCTAGTCCTGGTTTCAGTCCCGGTCTGGTCCCGGACCTGGTTTAGTCCTGGTTCAGTCTGGAGGCACAAATAATGAAGAAATATGTTGTTTTTTCGTTTTCTTATTTTTAGTTTTATATTAAAAAAACGAATGAAGGAATGACACAGGAATTAATGTTCTTCTGCCGCATTTTTCACTTTGACTTTGAGTTTATAACAACTTCATTCTCATAATACTATAACTTTACTCTCATAATATTACGACTTTATTTTGACTTCGACGTTATTCTTGTAAAATTATAACTTTATTCTCATAATATTATGACTTTAATGTCGACATATTACTTTATTCTCGTAGCGCAAGCATCTTTTTTTTTTTTCTTTTTTTTAATCTGAGCCTTATACTCCGTCGAACTGTGGGACTTGGTAAACAGATATTTTGTTGTAATCCTGTTGTGATGATTTAAAATTATGGGATATTTCAATAACGTGTGACATGTTTTCTACTTTTTTTTTTTTATGAGGTGGATTATAAAAAAACTCCATCCATCTGCTCCTGGTCCGGCATTTCCATCGAATTTTAGAACCCTTTGTGGCCCACGTGTCAAAAAGTTTGCCCACCCCTGGTCTAGAGAGTCTCAGGTCTGAATAAAGTCACTTAAACTGATGAAGAAGAGTCTTTACAGTGAAGTGCTTGTACTTGTGCCGGTGCGACCCACAGCGCCGTCTCCGTCTCCTCAGAAGCCCTCCACGTGGCAGTAGGCCTCCAGGGACGAGAACACAATGTACATGAGCCACAGGCTGAAAAACAAGGTCGTGGTCAGGATTTTGGGCCCCCGGGGACCGCCCAGCTCCCCGCCGATGGAGGGCCTGCGCCTGTAGATGAGCACCGCGATGCAGACGAATGCGAAGATGGTGAAGAGCGTGACGGAGAAGGCCAGGGTGCCGGGGTCCACCTCGAACTTCTCGCCCCTCCACCAGTGAACGACGGCGGCGATGGACCACGCCACGCCGATGCCCAGGAACACGTTCACCGCGTTGGAGCCCGTCACGTTCCCGATGGAGGCGTCTGCGTACTGGTCCTGGATCGCCGCCACTTTACTCGCAAACGTGTCTGAGAGAGAAAGAGAGAGAAGTTTTGTTTCTGTAAAACGTAAACAAATGTGCTCAAAAGCTGAATTACATTTGGGTCCGGTCAAGTGTTTTTTTGACATTCAAATGTCTCTTATTCAGAAACTAGAGGAACTATTGAAATAAGTAAAGTATCAGAATGTAGGAAAGAGTTACACTCCAACAGGGTCAAGTTAAACCTGTGATATTCTTTCAAGTTGTTGACAAAAAATTTTAAAAACTCATGTCGGTAACGGAGGGAATGAAATATGCAGCACTTTTTGGTCAATAAATCCAAACAGTGATAACTCTTGGTTCTCACTTACATATCCTTAACAAACTGGTTTGAATATTTGCTTCATATAGTTTTCTACCATATGGTACAAGATTAGGTTGAAAAACCTCTTACTTTTTGACTCATGAGATTTTTTATTAAGAAAGGTCATGGTAACGGAGGGAAAAGTAACGGAGGGAAAATTGTTCAAACAAGTAGAAGGTGCAGGATTTTACATCATTTGTCGCTTTTTTCTTCCAAATACTTTAATATTACTTCAAAATGAAAGGAAACTATTTCTATAAAATATGTCAGTCCTTCCAAGAACATTTTTATCATTTTAAATACTTTTTTTTTTTTAATTCATGACCTTCATCAACAGTTCAAAGATGGAATAACACAAGATATGATGAAATACATCCATTTATTTACATGATTTTTGGGTCTTTGAAATTTGGGAAATAATTTTTGTTCCATGTTTCATACATGGTCTGTTTAAAACGTATGGAACTTTAGGTGAACAGTTTCATAAACTAGAGTACATATGTATCTGTTCAATACATTTTTATATCAGATGCATTAACTTGAGTTTTTGGCCTTGTTGTTTACTTCTGCTGGACTGGGCCCATTATCAAACAGGCTGATGTGTCTATAGTGTTTATGGTTTATATGTTGTAAAGTTGAGTTTATTTATGCAGAAGATTTTAATGGAGAATCTGTTGGGTTTGATGTGTGCAGTGGATTGTGGGAGATCTCACAGCTCCTCACGCTGGTTAAACCTTTTGAGCTTCTGAAGCTAAAGGAGCTCATGGTTTGTATTTTTCCTGCACAGCAAAAAGTGGAGTGTTAAATTGACTCTCACAGAATAAATTTTAACATTTTCTCAGAATTTATATGAGTCCAATCTGGTTTAATCCTGGTTTAGACCTGGTTTAGACCTGGTTTAGTCCTGGTTTAGTCCTGGTTTAGACCTGGTTTAGACCTGGTTTTAGTTTTAGAGACCTGGTTTAGTCCTGGTTTAGTCCTAGTTTAGACCTGGTTTAGACCTGGTTTAGTCCTGGTTTAGTCCTTTTAGTTTTAGACCTGGTTTAGTCCTGGTTTGGTCCTGGTTTAGTCCTGGTTTAGTCCTGGTTTAGTCTTAGTTTAGACCTGGTTTAGTTCTAGTTTAGACCTGGTTTAGACCTGGTTTAGTCCTGGTTCAGTCCTGGTTTAGTTCTAGTTTAGACCTGGTTTAGTCCTTGTTTAGTCCTAGTTTAGACCTGGTTTAATCCTGGTTTAGTCCTGGTTTAGACCTGGTTTAGTCCTGGTTTAGTTTTAGACCTGGTTTAGTCCTGGTTTAGACCTGGTTTAGACCTGGTTTAGCCTGGTTTAGTCCTGGTTTTAGTCCTGGTTTAGTCCTGTTTAGACCTGGTTTAGTCCTGTTTAGTTTAGACCTGGTTTAGACCTGGTTTTAGTCCTGGTTTTAGACCTGGTTTAGTCCTGGTTTAGACCTGTTTAGACCTGGTTTAGTCCTGGTTTAGACCTGGTTTAGTCCTGGTGATCGGCTCGGTGCTTCCGGTGTGTATATATTTATAATACACTAATGACACGGAGTAGGATCAGTCCTGGTTTAGTCCTGGTTTAGTCCTGGTTTAGTCCTGGACTATTGGGCTGTCGGACTAATCTGGCCCTGGTTTATCACGTCTGGGCGGGTGTGGATTTAACTTTTACACAATCACGGTTATTACGTTATTATGGAGACAAACCGGCAGCGAAACCCTCCAGCAGAAAAGTTCCACAGTGCCCCTTTACCCCCCTGTGCCCCGGCCCCTGACCTGGCACGGACGTCCCCAGAGCCACGAACACCACGGCGGTCACGGAGTCCTTGAGCCCCACGGTGCAGCCGAAGTGCGAGGCCAGGTCCCCGATGAACGCCGTGAGGAGGCCGATGCCGCAGATGGACACGCAGAAGCACGGCCACCCGCTCAGGTAGTCCGTCGGCGGCACGAGGGCGAACACCAGCTTCCACAGCACCGTGAGGAAGTGCATGAGGTAATCGCAGCAGGAGGGCGGGCGCTCGGAGCCACCGTCGTCGTCGTCGTCGTCGTCGCCTGCAGAGACAAGTGTGTGAGGCACTAAGACACAGGTGTCAAACATGCGGCCCAGGGGCCAGATCCGGCCCTCCAAGACCTTTAATCTGGCCCTCAGCTGATTTTCTACCAAAATATTTTAATGATATTTTCTATTAAAATCTTGTTAATTTTCTGTGGTGTTTATCACAGCAGCGTCTCCAGTGTCTCTGTACGTGGCCCCTCCCACCAGAGCAGCACAAATGAAGACTTGTCTCTTTCCAAACGCTCTTAAAGGACGATCGTTTTGACTGTTGACCGTGACACCCTCATCAGAAAAATGTCCAACATGAGAAAAGTGGAGCCGAGTGCAGGATTTTACAACAAAAATGGACTTATTCGTATTTACATTGTTGAAATTGTGTTTTTCTTAAAGTTTCAGGTTGTTCATAATATTATAATATTTAGTTAAAGAAAGAGTTCATCACTTAAAAAAGATTTCTGTAATAGATTTGTGTTTCTCTGCACAAATATTTGAACTTTTTGTTATTTTTGGGGTTTATATGACATGAGTTTTCTGATCCGGCCCCTTTGGATCAAAGTCGGTTGGATACGGCCCCCGGACCAAAATGAGTTTGACACCCCTGGACTAAGATATGTTTTATTATTTTATTAGTTTCTTACAAAGCTGTCATTTTAAATCAGGGGCGTCAAACTCAAATTCACAGAGGCTAAAATTTAAAACTGGGACTAAGTCGTGGGCCAAAGTAAATATTTATTGAAAAATTTGAACAAGATCTGCATGTTTTCTCTTCTTTCGAGATCTGTAATGTATGTTGTAATGTAATGTTAAAAATATGAAATGTTTAATAATAGTTTTGCTTAAACATTGAATCCAGAACAAGCAAAATATAAAATAACAACACAATTTTAAATAAATAATGTCTCTATAGTACGGAAGCCGAGAGGGGTCACAACAAACGCAAACGCCGCAACAAATGCGACAACACAACAAAAAGTCACAACACACAAAAAAAGCCACAACGGAAATGACCGCGGGACTCTGTTTTAATGCAAACGCCGCAACAAATACAAACGGCACAAGGCAAACGCAAATGCCGCAACACATTAAAAAGCCACAACGGAAGTGACCGCGGGACTCTATTTTCCGACGGACCGATCAAGCGGCAAGTGAAGAAGAACTACAACGTGAAAAGTAAAGGAACGGAGAAGTTGGAAACGTAAGTAAAAGTAATTTATTGTTTTATCATTATTCGTTTCACGTTGTAGTTCTTCTTCTTCTTCACTTGCCGCTTGATCGGTCCGTCGGAAAATAGAGTCCCGCGGTCACTTCTGTTGTGGCTTTTTAATGTGTTGTGGCTTTTTAATGTGTTGTGGCTTTTTAATGTGTTGCGGCGTTTGCATTAAAATAGAGTCCCGCGGTCATTTCCATTGTGGCTTTTTTTGGTTTGTTGTGGCTTTTTGTTGTGTTGTCGCATTTGTATTTGTTGCGGCGTTTGTGTTTGTTGTGGCCCCTCTCGGCTTCCGTACTATAGTCTATCTGTAGCTGGTGGGAAGCTCTAATACAGATTTGATATGATCTCACGGGCCAAATATAATTATATCGCAGGCCAAATTTGGCCCCCGGGCCTGAGCTTGACATGTCTATTTTAAAGTTTGTGTTATTTATGAAAAAATCTAAATAAAAAATAAATAAAAATTAAAAAATTAATTAAAGCTGGTGTCTGGAGGGATGCGTCTGGGATTGGGTCTTGACAGAGCTGAAGCGTATCTCATGAAAAATTTGATTTAAGGACTTGTATTTAGACAAAAAATCCAGGTGGAATTAATATAAAAAGCCTATTATTTTAGTTTTTATTATTATTAAATCATATTTTTTATTTGTGGGTTTGCAAACTGTTCTTGTTTCTTTTGAGAATGGTTGTTGACTGAAAACAAAGAAGAAATATGAATTGAATTTAAGTCCTGGACTTAAATATACCTTAAATGTACCTAAATATAACATGGACATTCTACACCACATATAAAAGTACAAACATCATGTCATACTTTCATGTGGTCAGAAGAGGGCAGTGTAACATTTTGTGCTTCATCATGGATTGAGTTTTTTTTTAGCCTACAGAGGTGATAAAGTGCACCTTAAGACCAAAGGCAGTACCTACACTGGCCAGTAGAGGTCAGTGTAATTCTAAGAAAACTGAGGTAATGATACTTTAAAGAGCGTTATCCTGGCGCTGATTCTGACCCATTTCAAAGTTTTAACTCCAAAAAATTAGGAGAAATTAGAATTTTTCAGTAAGATTAAGCCTGGTTTACTCAAATATTAAATAAGACCGTCGTGTGTCTGACCTGCGCTGACGGTGATGGCCTCCACAAACTGCTGCCTCCAGCTGTTGGTGCCGATGACCAGAGCCAAGTTTGTTTTTTTTAACAGTTTATCCACCGTGCTCTGGAGAAGAGAGAGAGAAAGAATAAAGAGAGTCACAACAAAGAGAGAAAAGAAGAGAGAGAAGTATATATAGAGAGAGACAGCGTATCCCCAGGTTTGACTACCCCAAATTTAAGACTTTTTTAAGACCTTTTTAAGACCACTTAAATGAAAATTAAGACCAACATCACACCCATTATGCGGACGAAAAACACCAGATCCAATTCTAATAATGACCAACCAACTACTATATCTAGAATCTAAGGCTACGTTCAGACTGCAGGGCTTAACGCTCAATTCAGATTTTTTTGTGAAATCCGACGTTTTTTCGAGGTCGTTCACGTTTCCAGTTAAATGTGACTTGTATGTGACTCCAGTGTGAACGTTAAACAGCCCAAAAGTGTCCCACATGTGACTGGAGACACGACGACGTCAACCTCAGCGAGCGTCTCTGTGTTTACGGAAGTTGTCCAAACATGGACGCAGCATCGAGCACCTGGAGATTTTAAAGTTCCTCTCGTACCGGAGCCAGAACATGAACAACTTACTTGTTTTAAGGAGGAGATTGAGAAGGAGAAGGACGAGGTTTTTGGTCGTGGTGTTTTGTGGGACAGAACGTTGAAAGGAACGTGTGGATGTGGAGACGGAGCCAAGAGTGGTGAGTGGAGATGTGCTTCACTTCAGTGACACGGAGTTCATTAACAATTTTCTCCTACTTCAGCGCAGAATAGTGACGTTTGTGTCTTGTTGATAACGTGTAGGTGGATGAATGCACTTTGACCGTTCAGACTGAAGTCACATGTCAAAAGATCAGATATGTATCAGTTTCAGGAGCACATATCCAAGTGTCCTGGGTCACATTTGAAAAAATCAGATCTGTGTCGTTCAGACTGACATTAAAAGATCAGATACAGGAACATAGGGGCCAAAAAATCGGATTTGGGTCACTTCAGGCTGCAGTCTGAACGCAGCCTAAGAGCCACTGTGGATGAAACGGACACATCCAACGTCTTCCTAAACTCTACTGGTTGTTCTACTCTTTGCCGCCAGCGCCAGAAACCAAAGTATTGTTTACGCATGCTCCAAATTAGACGTTCATTCACGTTGTTGTTTTTTTTCCTCCTTCCGGTCGACAATACAAAAAAAAAATAGGCCAATGAAATTTAAGACCTTTGTGAAAAATATAAGACTTGGACAACATAGTTTAAGACTTTTTAAGGCCTTAAGTTAGGAACATGAAATTTAAGACCTTTTTAAGACTTTTAATACCCTGCGACCACCCTAGAGAGAGAGAGAGAGGAGTGTGTGTGGTTCAGACCTTAAACTCGTAGGACTCTTCGATGGTCACCTCCAGACGAGTGTGTTCCCCCAAAGTCGGACGACCCATTTCAGCGATTCTCATCTCCTCCTGCTCCTTCAGAGAGAAATCCTCCGAATCTGCAACAAAACCAAGACTGAACCAGGACTGGACCAGGACTGGAACCAGGACTAAACCAGGACTGAACCAGGACTGGAACCAGGACTAAACCAGGACTGAACCAGGACTAAACCAGGACTAAACCAGGACTAAACCAGGACTAAACCAGGACTGAACTGGAACTAAACAAGGACTAAACCAGGACTAAACCAGGACTGAACCAGGACTAAACCAGGACTAAACCAGGACTGAACCAGGACTAAACCAGGACTAAACCAGGACTAAACCAGGACTGGACCAGGACTAACCAGGACTGGACCAGGACAGGACTAAACCAGGACTGACCAGGACTAAACCAGGACTAAACCAGGACTAAACCAGGACTAAAACCAGGACTGAACCAGGACTGAACCAGGACTAAACCAGGACTGAACCAGGACTGGACCAGGACTAAAACCAGGACTAACCAGGACTGGACAGGACTAAACCAGGACTAAACCAGGACTAAACCAGGACTGAACCAGGACTAAACCAGGACTAAACCAGGACTGAACCAGGACTGAACCAGGACTGGACCAGGACTGGACCAGGACTAAACCAGGACTGGACCAGGACTAAACCAGGACTAAACCAGGACTAAACCAGGACTAAACCAGGACTGAACCAGGACTGAACCAGGACTAAAACCAGGACTGAACCAGGACTGGACCAGGACTAAACCAGGACTAAACCAGGACTAAAACAGGACTAAACCAGGACTAAACCAGGACTGAACCAGGACTAAACCAGGACTGAACCAGGACTAAACCAGGACTAAACCAGGACTGAACCAGGACTGAACAGGACTGGACCAGGACTACCAGGACTAAACCAGGACTAACCAGACTAAACCAGGACTAAACCAGGACTAAACCAGGACTGAACCAGGAAACCAGGACTAAACCAGGACTGAACCAGGACTAAACCAGGACTGGACCAGGACTAAACCAGGACTAAATCAGGACTGAACCAGGACTGAAACAGGACTGAACCAGGACAAAATCAGGACTAAACCAGGACTAAACCAGGACTGAACCAGGACTGAACTAGGACTGAACCAGGACTAAAACAGAACTGAACCAGGAGTGAACCAGGACTAAAAACAGGACTGAACCAGACTGAACCAGGACTAAACCAGGACTAAACCAGGATTGAACTAGGACTGAACAAGGTTTAAACCAGAACGACACCAGGACTAAACCAGGTCTAAATCAGGACTAAACCATGAATGAACCAAGACTGAATCAGGTCTAAACCAGGTCTAAATCAAGACTGAACCAAGAAACCAGGTCTAAACCAGGCCTAAACCCGGTCCGGTACCTGTGATGTTGATGGTGGGGTTGTCTCGTCCCTGGACTTTCCTGTAGATTTCTTTACCTGAAAACACCAAAGAACAGATCACAACTAGAGTTTAACCCACAACCTCCAGGCTAACCACTCTGCCACAGGAACACAGGGAGAACATGCACACTCCACTCGGGAGATCAGGAGTCAAACCCACAACCTCCTGCTGAGAGGAGGACATGGGCTAACCACTCTGCCGCCACAGACTGTATATGTAAATGGACACAGCAAACCTCAGTGCACAAGAGCTGAGTCGTGATCAAATTAATAAATATTTAAAGAAAAGGGGAGAGAGGCCGAAAACGGGGAGCGGCGGGTGGATGTGAATCTGTGTGTCGTTCGTTCATTCGTTTTTCAATATAAAACCAAAAATAAGAGAATGAAAAAGCAACTGTTTTCTTCATTATTTGTCTCCAAAACCAAAATGAAAAAACGAATAATGAATCGTTTTTTTTTAGTTTTCGATTTTGTGTTTAAATGAAAAATGGAAAAAACGGATATCGGCCGTTTCCCGTTGACGTGACTTAAAGGTTGTATAGAGGATTTTCCAAGGAACGAGAAATCCAGCGACTGTTTGTCCTTTTTCAAATGTTGCGCATGCGTGAAACCACCCCCCCTCCCCTACAGCTCCTACGTAGAAACGCCTTCTCCCGCCTCCTCTTTACGCCAGAAACAGGTTTGTTTACAGCCGGTGCTGCACATGACTTGTAAACAACTAACTACAGTGTTGGTTAGGCAAGACGGAGAAGTGAGGAGCGGGGGGAGCGGGTGTGCGGACATTTCGTTCGCGGACGAGAAGTGAGGAGCAGGGAGAAGAGCGGAACGGGCAGCGGGGACAGGAGTAGGAAAGGGGAGCAGAGAAGGTTGCGCGGAGAGATTCAGTGCGAATGAACTAGCTACAACACGCAGCAGCAAGCGGACTCTTTCTTTGCCTTGAAAATTCAGTTTTCAGACATAGGATATCGCTTTCGTGTCCTGAAAAACGTTTGTCTAGCTCTTGGAAATAAAGTACGTTTTCATAATAAGCAGAAGTTTCCTGTCCAGGAGTAATTTTGTGGACCAGTGCGTTCAGTCTTTAGACCCTGCGTCTGCTTCAGTCGCGCCATCGCTGGAATGAATCTACAAGAATCACCTTAGTTTGGCTTCGCTGCTTTTCCCCTTGTCTTCTTCTTTCAGCAATCTCAAAAACAGACTTTCTTTTGCGGCGAACTGCTCCTGGATTCTTGTCGCCATTGCAACAAAACTTTGTGCAAACTGCGAGGAAGATATAGGTCAAAAAAAGCCGCTAAGAACTGTTGCGTTGGTGGAGTAAACAGCGTCTGTGCGTCTTGCGTCTGGGACTGTGTGACAGTCGTACGTAAACCACGTACCGGCAGCGCAGGCAAGTCAGTTACGCTAGAAACGTAGGGAGATTGATTGACAGCCTGTCAGCTCACAGATAACGAGGCAGTGTCGTTATCTATTGGCAAATGTTTAGCCCCACCACGTCCAGAGTTGATGAATTTTTATTCTCTTTTTTTTGGTCATCATAATTACAAGGCGACTGCATCTATAATCTATCACTGACAACTTGAAAAAAAAAAAATCCTCCATACAACCTTTAAGTGACTGTGATGCCGGACTGAACCAGGACTGATCCAGAGCGGGACCAGTGAGGGACTGAGACCGGCACCAGACCAGGACCAGACCGAGACTGAGATCAAAACTGAAACCGGGACCAGATCGGGACCAGATCGGGACCAGATCGGGACCAGACCGGGACTGAGCCCGAGAACAGACTGGAATCACACCGGGACCAGGCCGGGACTGAGACTGAGACCAGGCCGGGACCAGACCGGGACCAGACCAGGACCAGAAAGAGACTGAGACCGAGACCAGGCCGGGACCAGACCAGGACCAGAAAGAGACTGAGACCGGGACTGAGACTGAGACTGAGACCGAGACCAGGCCGGGACCAGACCGGGACCAGACCAGGACCAGACCGGGACCAGACTGGGACCAGAAAGAGACTGAGACCGGGACTGAGACTGAGACCGAGACCAGGCCAGGACCAGACCGGGATCAGACCGGAGCTCGAAGCTGAGGCTCGGACCCCACAGCGGCTCGGAGTCAAAGCTGAGAGTCCACCCTGATCCCGCTCTGGTCCCGGACCTGGACCAGTCCTGGTTCAGTCCGACATCGCAGTCACGGAAGTCACGTAAACGGCGTTATCTGTTTTTTCCAATTTTCATTTAAACACAAAATCAAAAAATGAAAAAAACAAATCATTATCTGTTTTTTCATTTTGGTTTTGGAGACAAATAATGAAGAAAATAGTTGTTTTTTACATTTTCTTATTTTTGGTTTTATATCGAAAAACGAATGAACGAATGACACATGGATTGATGTGACTGACATGTTAAAAAGTACACAAATAAAACTTTAGCAGGCGACTCTTTTGTGTTTAGAAAGAAATGCTAACGCTAATGCTAACGCTAAGGCATCATAAATATTACGACAACACCACAAACTGCAGCACTCTACGTATGAAAATAATAGACCTAGACTAGCAAAATATCTGTGTAAATGTGTGTCGTATTCTTCACCAGCTTCATAAATCTGCCCCATCACCAAATCTCCAACCAACAATGTCCACAAAGGATAAAACTAAAAATTTTATTTAAAGAATTTTAAACATTTGCAGGAAAAAATTTGAAATTGTTGAAATTGTATTATTGTATTAAACCAAGACTAAACTAGAACTAAACCAGGACTAAAGTAAACCCTAACCAGAACTGAACCAGGATTAAAGTAGGATTACATCAAGACGAATCTAGAATTAAACCAGAACTAAACATGACTAAACTAGAACTAAACCAGTCCTTTAAACCAGAACTAAACCAGGACTAAAGTGGATTATACCTTGTATAAACTAGAACTGAGCTAGAACTAAACCAGGACTGAGGGTGGGGGGTGGGGCCTGAAGATTGAGCTACTCTCACCTCATAACCTGTGCACATGGCCTCCCACTTGTCCCGACCGGGATGGAAAATGGAGAATTTCTTGTGCAAGTCATTGTTAAATGCGCATTTGTGCTTCAGTATGTTGCAGACTGACCGACTGTTTGTGTCTGATCGCTCCTTCTGAGTCACAGACGCTACGAGAGACGCTCAGCTTAAAGGTTGTATAGAGGATTTTCCAAGGAACGAGAAATCCAGCGACTGTTTGTCCTTTTTCAAATGTTGCGCATGCGTGAAACCACCCCCCCTCCCCCACAGCTCCTACGTAGAAACGCCTCCTCCCTCCTCCTCCTTACGCCAGAAACAGGTTTGTTTACAGCCGGTGCACTGGACATGACTTGTAAACAACTAACTACAGTGTTGGTTAGGCAAGACGGAGAAGTGAGGAGCGGGGGGAGCGGGTGTGCGGACATTTCATGCACGGACGAGAAGTGAGGAGCGGGGAGAAGAGCAGGAAAGGGGTGCAGAGAAGGTTGCGCGGAGATTCAGTGCGAATTAACTAGCTACAACACGCAGCAGCAAGCGGACTCTTTCTTTGCGTTGAAAATTACGTTTTCAGACATAGGATATCGCATTCTTGTCCTGAAAAACGTTTGTGTAGCTCTTGGAAATAAAGTACGTTTTCATAATAAGCAGAAGTTTCCTGTCCAGGAGTAATTTGTGGACCAGTGGTTCAGTCTTTAGACCCTGCGTCTGCTTCAGTCGCGCCATCGCTGGAATGAATCTTCAAGAATCACCTTAGTTTGGCTTCGCTGCTTTTCCCCTTGTCTTCTTCTTTCAGCGACCTCAAAAACGGACTTTCTTTTGCGGCGAACTGCTCCTGGATTCTTGTCGCCATTGCAACAAACTTTGTGCGAACTGCGAGGAAGATATAGGTCAAAAAAAGCCGCTAAGAACTGTTGCGTTGGTGGAGTAAACAGCGTCTGTGCGTCTTGCGTCTGTGGACTGCGTGACAGTCGTACGTAAACCACGTACCGGCGGCGCAGGCAAGTCAGTTACGCTAGAAACGTAGGGAGTTTGATTGACAGCCTGTCAGCTCACAGATAACGAGGCAGTGTCGTTATCTATTGGCAAATGTTTAGCCCCACCACGTCCAGAGTTGATGAATTTTTATTCTCTTTTTTTTGGTCATCATAATTACAAGGCGACTGCATCTCTATAATCTATCACTTGACAACTTGAAACAAAAAAAAATCCTCCATACAACCTTTAATGGCCCAATGAAAGATCATGAAAACCCGGACATTTACGTCACTTTATGAGAAAAAAAACCCGGACGCCCAGGACAGGACGCAAAAAACGGACATGTCCAGGGAAAAACGGACGTTTGGTCACCCTGTCTTAGTCTATTTGATCAAGTCAAGTCTCAAGTCCTAAAAATAGTGACTCAAATCTGACTCGAGTCTAAGTCACAACTTGCAAATCCCCACCTCGATGAGCTTCATTTGACTGGCTTCGCCCATTTGTTTATACAGTCCATGTGTGGCACAGTGACACAGGGAGAACATGCAAACTTCACACAGATAACAGGAGTCTAACCCACAACTAAAATTACTGACGTTGACATGCAGTTTGTTGGCAGTAATTTAAATAAAATAGATTGTTTTTGTTATTTTGTTTTGTTTGTGCGGCGGCCATTTTGTGCTCGCTGATCACATGACCCACTGTTGACTTTATTGTCTTTACTGACATTTGAAAGTGAACAGTTTGGGAAAGTCTTACCACAAATCTGCTTCTCTAAAGGAGGCAAAGATTTGTTACAATCAAATAAAAACGGTTTAAAATAAAAAATATACGAATCATAAATGAAATAAACTCACCTGTTTTGACGTATCCGCCTGTAAAATAAAAATCAAAAAGCACAAAAATAGCAAAATTTAGAACAGAATTTAAAACATTTGAAGGAAAAACTGTGAAATTGTTGAAATTGTAGCAGAATGAGAAAAAGTGAAAGGAACTGATGAGACTAAACAAGGATTAAACCAGAACTAAACCAGGACTAAAGTAGGATTACATCAGGACTAGTCTAGAATTAAACCAGGACTAAACCAGGACTAAAGTAGGATTACATCAGGACTAGTCTAGAATTAAACCAGGACTAAACCAGGACTAAAGTAGGATTACATCAGGACTAGTCTAGAATTAAACCAGGACTAAACCAGGACTAAGTGGGATTGTACCTTGTCTAAACTAGAACTGAGCTAGAACTAAACCAGGACTAATCCAAGACTAACGTTGAATTAAACCCAAACGAACCTAGAACTAAACCAGGATTAAAGTAAGATCACGTCTAAACTAGATCTAAACCAGGACTAAAGTAGACCCTAACCAGAACTGAACCAGGATTAAAGTAGGATTACATCAAGACGAATCTAGAATTAAACCAGAACTAAACCATGACTAAACTAGAACTAAACCAGTCCTTTAAACCAGAACTAAACCAGGACTAAAGTGGGATTGTACCTTGTCTAAACTAGAACTGAGCTAGAACTAAACCAGGACTAATCCAAGACTAACGTTGAATTAAACCCAAATGAACCTGGAACTAAACCAGGACTAAAGTAGGATTAAACCAGGTCTAAACTAGGTCTAAACCAGGACTAAAATACACCAGATCAAATACAGAACTAGAACTAAGGACTAAAGTAGGATTAACACAGGTCTAAACTAGATCTAAACCAGGTCTAAACCAGGACTAAAGTAGACCCTAACCAGAACTGAACCAGGACTAAAGTAGGACTACACCAGGTCTAAATTACAGCTGAACCAGGGTTTAACTAGGGCTAAACCAGAACTAAACCTGGACTCAAATACGCTCAGACTAGAAACCAGAACTAGAACTAAACAAGCACTAAAATAGAATTAAACCAGGTCTAAACTAAATCTAAACCAGGACTAAAGTAGACCCTAACCAAAACTGAACCAGGACTAAAGTAGGACTACACCAGGTCCAAACTAGAGCTGAACCAGGGTTAAACTAGGGCTAAACCAGAACTAAACCAGGTCTAAAACACACTCAAACCAGACCTAATATAGAAGTAGAACTAAACCAGGACTAAAGTAGGATTAAACCAGGTCTAAACTAGGTCTAAACTAGATCTAAACCAAGTCTAAACCAGGACTAAAATACACCCAAACCAGGCCTAGTACAGAACTAGAACTAAACAAGACTAAAGTAATATTAAACCAGGTCTAAACCAGGTCTAAACCAGGACTAAAATAGTCTCTAACCAGAACCGAACCAGGACTAAAGTAAGACTACACCAGGTCTAAACTACAACAGAACCATGGTTAAACTAGGACTAAACCAGAACTAAACCAGGTCTAAAACACACTCAAACCAGACCTAATATAGAAGTAGAACTAAACCAGGACTAAAGTAGGATTAAACTAGATCTAAACTAGGTCTAAACCAGGACTAAAGTAGACCCTAACCAGAACTGAATCAGAACTAAAGTAGGATTACACCAGGTCTAAACTAGAACTAAACCAGGTCTAAACCAGGACTAAAGTAGGATTACACCAGGTCTAAACTAGAACTAAACCAGGACTAAAGTAGACCCTAACCAGGACTAAAGTAGGACAACACCAGGTCTAAACTACAACAGAACTAGGGCCAAACCAGAACTAAACCTGGACTCAGATAAACTCAAACCAGACGTGATTCTAAGACTCTGATTCTAACCAGAATTTAACCAGGACTAAGGCAGACCATAATCAGAACTGAACCAGGACTAAAGTAGGATTAAACCAGGTCTAAACCAGGACTAAAGTAGACCCTAACCAAAACTGAACCAGGTCTAAACCAGGTCTAAACCAGGTCTAAACCAGGACTAAAATGCACTCAAACCAGGCCAAATATAGAACTAGAACTAGAACTAAGGACTAAAGTAGGATTAACACAGGTCTAAACTAGATCTAAACCAGGTCTAAACCAGGTCTAAACCAGGCCCGGGTCCTCACCTGTCTCATGGAGCAAAACAGCTAAAAGAAAAGCAGAAACAGAGGTGAGAAACAGCAGAAGCAGCAGCAGAACTCGACTAAAATTTTGGAGAATTTCAGATCAAATTATAATGAATATTTTAGTTTTGTTACAACACAAGGAGCGGTGAGGGACGAGACACAGGAGGTGAGGGGGAATGAGGAGTTTTTGGGTTGTTAAAAGTGTAGTTTTTAGTCTGGTCTCGCTCCATAGACGTTGGATTTCCACATTTTCACATTTTCAAGACGACGGACACATCACTTATCTTTAAACTCTAAAGAATATAACGTTGTTTCCTCGTCAAAAACAGGACCTGGAGTTGTGTTTTGGGTAACTCTTTATTATTAATCTGCTCATAAAAAAAGCTCAAAATGCTCTGTTCCACCTTGTGATGTCATGAAAAGCGGCTCCTTTTACCTTTAGTTCAGTAGAGATCAGCAGTTCCAGGGCTGAAAGTATTAAAATGATTCTAGCAGAGGCGGCGCCATCTAGGGCCCCTCCACACTATAACTTCTTAGGTTCTTTTTAAAGACAATGCAGTAAAGTGTGTTTACCTTGTTGACATGTTTCGGCTGCTGCTGCATCTTCAGAACTGTCAGCGGTGTTGGTGGTGACGTGTCGTATATCAGCTGTTGTTACTTCCTGTAGGCGTGGTCAGACCTGATGGACCTGGCAGGTCGCTCAGACTGACCACGCCTCCCGTCGCCCGGTGTCTCTGGAGGAGGGTGTCCCAGGTGTGTGAAAGGAGGAATGCGCCGTCATCACGGTTAATGCTGTCCAAGCCTCGTTTCCTGATTTCAATGTCCTCCTTGATCCAGCGTTTGAACTTGTTGTTTTCCGATCCAATGACCCGAGCCCCGTCCCGATCCAGAATGTGGTTGTTCCTTTTACAGTGTCTGATATGGCGGATTTTAGGTTTTCCTGTTCTGCTTTGTCTTTTTGTGTTCTGGTGAGTCTCCCTGACGTTTCCTTCTCGCATTCCTTTTGTTGTTCCTTTTTTCGGATGTGAAATGCCCGGCCTGTTTCCCCTATGTATGATTTATTGCATGATTTGCATTGAATTTCGTAGATGGCGTTGCATTTTTGTTCTTGTGGGATTTTGTCCTTGGGATGTACGAGCTGTTGACGGAGTTTTGTGTCTGGTTTTACTACAGTGCTTAATGTTGTGTTTTTTCATGGCTCTGGATGGGTTCGGTTATTCCTCTGATGTTCGGTAGTGTGACTATGTTCTTTGTCCTGCTGCCCTGTGTTGGATTGTTGTGTTTTTTTCCGGGGTTTGTTGGTTTTATTGATAACTTGTTGTCTGCCTTTGTTTATGGCCCAGCTGGGATATTGACATTGTTTGAGTGCTTGTATGATGTGTCTCTCCTCTTCCTCCCTGTCGGTCTGTGATGAGTGTGGCCCGTTCGAATAATGTTCTTACTACTGAAAGTTTGTGTGCAGTGGGATGTTGGGATGTCCAGAGTAGATATTGGTCAGTGTGTGTGGGTTTCCGGTATATTGTGATTTTAATGCTGCCATCTGCGATGTGTTGGATTTTAATGTCCAGAAAAGGTACCACACTAGTTCGTATTTGAGTTGTTTTCGTTGTGGATGCAGTGTTCGTTCACGCTAATCCGATTGAAAATTACTCCAGAGACGAAATGATCTGGTGCCTCCAACTCCCACGAATTCATCTGAGTACAGATCTGATCCGGCACCGTGTGGACGCCTGAAAACGCTGATACTCTGATGTAGTAAGAGACTAGAATATATGTCCATTCATATAGACCAGGGGTGTCAAACATACGGTCCAGGGGCTGGATCCGGCCCTCCAAGATCTTTAATCTTGCCCTCGACTGATTTTCTACTAAAATATGTTCTATTAAAATATTGTTAAAGGTTGTACGGAGGATTTTTTTTTAGTTTCAAATTGTCAGTGAAAATTTAAAATACCATTACAGAGATGTAGCAGCCTTGTAATTATGATGACCAAAAAAAAAAAAAAATGAAAATCTATCAACTGTGGACGTGTTGAGGCCAGATAAACATCAGCCAATAGAAAACAAGGCTCCCTCTTTATCTATTGGCTGTTAGGTTGTCAATCAAACTCCCGTGTGGGGATTATGTGGTTTATGCAGCGGTTCTTAGAGGCTTTTTCAACCTGTCGCTTCCAGTTCGCACAAAGTTTGTTGCGACCAGTTCGCCACAAAAGAAAGTCGTTTTTTGAGGTCGCTGAAAGAAGAAGAGAAGGAGAAACGGAGCGAAGACAAACTGAGGTGATTCTCGGAGATTCCTTCCAGCGATTGCGCGACTAAAGCAGAAGAAGTGTCTAAAAACTGACGCGTCGGTCGCTAAAATATTTCTAGACTGGTCACTTCAGTAATTCTGAACGAAGCTGTAAACAAGCGTGATTTCTACTGAGGAGCTGTGGAGGAGGAAGGAGGCTGTGCACTGTGATCACAAAAAAATTGTGGTGTATCACAGTCTCTCTCTGTACGTCCCACCAGAGCAGCATGAAGACTTGTCTCTTGCTCTTAAAGGACGATCGTTTTGACTGTTGATGACATGAGAAAAGTGAGAAAAGTGGAGCCGAGTGCAGGATTTTACAACAACATTCAATAGATTTCTGTTTCATAAACTTATTTACTTACTACTGAAATCAAAGTCGGTTGGATACGGACCAAAATGAGTTTGACAGTCTAAACCAGGTCTAAACTACATCTAAACCAGGACTAAAGTAACACTACACCAGGTCTAAACTACAACAGAACTAGGGCAAAACTAGGCCTAACCCGGAACTAAACCTGGACTCAAGTAGACTCCAACCAGACCTGATATAAAACTAGAACTAAACCAGGACTAAAGTATGAAAAAAACAACAACAACAACAATGGTGCATTATAGTGAGGGCCCCAAACTTAAGTTCACCTCGGGCCCCCAAACTGCTGACTCCGCCACTGGATTCTAGTGAAGGTGTGTGGAGTTTTAAAACACAGTAGAGCTCTCTTTGTATTACCAAATGACATCACAAGGTGGAACAGAGCGTTTTCCATTTCAGAGAAGAAACTAGAACTAAACCAGGACTAAAGTGGAATGATACCAGGCCTAATTTAGAACTAGATCAGAACTAAAGTAAGATTTTACCTGGTCTAAACTAGAACTGAGCTAGAACTAAACCAGGACTAATCCAAGACTAAAGTTGAATTAAACCCGATCTAACCTAGAACTAAACCAGGACTAAAGTAGGATTAAAACAGGTCTAAACTAGATCTAAACCTGGACTCAAGTAGACTCAAACCAGACCTGATATGAAACTAGAACTAAACCAGGACTAAAGTACAAAAAACAAAAAAAAACAAAAACAAAGGTGCATTATAGTGAGGGCCCCAAACTGCTGACTCCTCCACTGGATTCTAGTGAAGGTGTGTGCAGTTTAAAAACACAGTGGAGCTCTCTCTGTATTACCTCATGACATCACAAGGTGGAACAATGTTTTCCGTGTCAGAGAAGAACCTTAATACGCAGTTTTTGTGAATTAAACATAAAGAAAACATAACTCCAGGTCTGTTTGTGATGAAAAAACAATATTATAACATTGCTCATAAAAACCGTAACTGGAATTTTAAAGAAACCAAAATCTGTCTCTGAAATCGGCAAAGCGACAGCAGCCCAAGCAGAGGTCAGAGGTCAGAGGTCGGGCGGGCGGCGGGTCAGACCTGGCCTGTCCCTGAGAGCGCCCCACATCGGGGGGAGCAGCTGGAGGTAGAAGGAGCAGTGACGGTCGTACGCGTCGTGATCCGTGATGACCACGCGGATACTCTTCCTGAAACACAGTCACCATGGTAACAACCAGCCCGGTACCCCGGACCAGGACCCGGACCAGGACCTGGACCAGGACCAGGACCAGGACCAGGACCAGATCCGGTCCACTGCTCCTGACAGGTGTAACCCCGGGCAGTTACCTAGAGCGCCATCTGGTGGAGAGGACGCCAAATCTTTAGTGAAGTTTTATTGTTGTTCTTTTTTTCTTTTTAAAGCTTCTCTCTGTAGCACTTTGAGATTTGCTCTTATTATTTTATTTTATTATAAATTTAATGTAAAGTGCATTAAAAATAAATTGTAAAGTGCATTAAAAATAAAACATAAAGTGAATTAAAAATAAACTGTAAAGTGCATTAAAAATAAAATGTAAAGTGCATTATAAATAAAATGTAAAGTGAATTAAAAATAAATTGTAAAGCGCATTAAAAATAAAATGTAAAGTGAATTAAAAATAAACTGTAAAGTGCATTAAAAAATAAAAAAAAAAAATAAAATGTAAAATAAAAACTGTAAAGTGCATAAAAAATAAAACATAAAATGAATTAAAAATAAAACATAAAGTGCATCAAAAATAAAATATAAAGTCCATTATAAATAAAATCTAAAGTGCATTATAAATAAAATGTATTATTATAAATCACAGGCATAAAAAATGTAAATAAATGTAAAAAAAAAAATGTGGTGAAATAAAATTGTTCCACCTTAAATATGGGGTTGTTTTTGTCTCATTAATATTCACAAATGCACAGAGGGAGATCTACACATAGTCGTTTTGCATGTTTTGTATTCGATGGGAATGCAACGTTAATGAATTGTTTACAAGGCTGATTTTTTATTGATTATTGATTATTAATTATTACGAAAAAATTATATGTGTGAGCTCATAGTCTATGTTATTAGGTTCTTTTTTCAGACTACGACTACAACAGAATATAACATTTAAAAAAAAACAACAATCATCATTTAACAAATTACAATCATCAACATAAAGCAACACCCACAACACCAAAAAAAAAAAAAAAAAAACTCCAAAAAAAACAGCAACATAAACACACCACATTGACACATTACGGCCAGTTCATAATTGAAATTCCTTTTTTTCCCCCTCTCCTCTCTCCCTTTCAGACTAAGAGTTTGTTTTCATTCCTGACAATTAATTGAATTTTGGTCGCAATTTCGATTTTGTGAGTCAAATGATCTCCAAACTCATATAATCGAGTTGAAACGATAAAGCTTAAAGTTTATTTTGGGATAGATTTAGTATATTTATTTGATTTTTTTAATATAGAAATTATAGAACAGCTGGATATATAGTTTATTTTGGATACATTTGTGTTTTTTATGCCTTAATTCATGTTCAAAGTTTATTTTATTTATTTTATGTTTTATACATCGCAAAACTGCTCTAAGGTTCAGATTTGTAGCCAATATTTATTTTCAGTTTTAAAGTTTTGCGTAAATTATCAATAACAAAGTTTTCTTGTTGAAAGAGAAATGCTGAATAAATGCGTTGTGTAAATTAAAAAAATATCGTTTGAATAATCATGATTTCAATGTTGACAAAAATAATCGTGATAATGACTTTTTCCATAATCGAGCAGCTCTACGTGTCGCTGTAATGTAACATCTATAACAACACTGCCCTCTAGTGGATGTCTGTGTATGTGAATCACACATACGCAGGCATTTTATTTATTTATTTATTTATTTTATCTCATTATTTTTTTTTTTTTATTTTTTTTTAGTACTGCCTTTATTTACAGATTTTTATTAATTTTGCTTATTGATTTTATTATGCTTATTATTATTGCTTATTCTTTTTTTCTTTTTTGTTTGGAACATAATTCCGCTGAGTTTTTAGACTTAAATGTTTTACACTGCTACACAGCAAAAACTGGAGGGTTAAAATTTTAGGGTAAAATATTTTTGTTGTTGTTTTTTAACAGAAAAAGTGTTATCTGAAATATTTGAAAGTTAAATGGGGGTTCAAGTTGGGTGAATTTGTGTAATTGTTGATCCACAAAAGCGAATCACATTTTACAAACAGAATTTTCAGTTTTAAAAATGTTTTATTTTTATTTATTTATTCATTATTATTATTATTATTATTTTTTTTTTTTTATGAACAAAGATGTATTTACAAATACACATGCATTTGTTCATAAGGTTACAAAAATTTGCATTTGTGAATATCAAAACACATCAGATCACCTCTGTGCATTTGTGATTTTTTTTTTTTTTTTAGTTGACCTGGTTAATAATAAAAACTTTATTAATTCATGCAAATATTAGAGCATTTCATAGACCCCAGCACAAAAATTGTGTATCATGTTTTTTGGTTTTTTTGGGGGTTTTTTTATTGCACACAACTGGGGGCGTAAACGTGACAAAACAAACATGGAGTTTTTAAGACGGTACAAAAGAAAACGAAAATGACTGACGCGGACTGGAAAATGGCGCTTCTCCACTGTCACGCAGGTAAAATGGACTCAAATGCAACACAAGTATACAGGCAACAAACTCTTAGTTAATAACGGAACGTGTCCTCTAACAGGTAATGTATAATGGTAACTCAGACTGAAAATATAAGAGGAATGTATGATATAAAATGTGAACAGAAATATCCTCCAAGACTGGGAAATACACTAGTAAGAAATGAACTGGGAGTAAACTCAGGAACAGGGACAACAAACAGGGAAAAACACAGAATTGCAGAAGCTGCAAACAGATCAGATTCAGGGGTAATACAGGGGTTTCAGAAATTGGGGTTCAGGTTTTCAGGAGCTTGAGAGTTCGTCTTTACAGGTGTACAATCTGGCAAGGACTGAGGGAGAAGAGGGAGTATATACAGACTGGGCCTGGGCTGATTACGGAATGAGAGGCAGCTGTAGGGAAAGGAGGGAGGTGACAAAAGGAGGACCGGAATGGACTGACAAACGGAGCTGGACTGGGGAAAACAAACAAAAAGGCAGAACTGTGACATCCACGGGTTAATCTGAGTATGAGGGGTCACACGGGGGTCACGCAGGGGTCAGGCGGGGGTCAGGGGGGGTCAGGGGTGAGTGGGCGGGGCCTGGCGGCGCAGGTAAAGCCGCACCTTTCCTCTCACTCATCTCCAGGAGGCGCGGCTCGCCCATCTCCACAAAGAAGTTCTTGTTCTTCTCGTACTGGTCGTCGTCGATTATGTTTATCTGAAAGGACTTACTGAAGAGAAGAGAGGAGAAGAGAGGAGAGGAGAGAGAAGGGAGAGAGAGAGAGGAGAGAGGAGAGAGAGGAGAGAGAGAGGAGAGAGGAGAGAGAGGAGAGAGAGGAGAGAGGAGAGAGGAGAAGAGAGGAGGAGAGAAGAGAGAGGAGAGGAGGAGAGAGAGAGAGAGAGAGAGGAAAGAGAGAGAGAGAGAGGAGAAGAGAGAGGGAGAGAGGAGAGGAAGAGAGAGGGAGAGAGAGAGAGAGGAGGAGAGAGAGAGAAGAGAGGAGAGGAGGAGAGAGAGGAAGAGAGAGAGAGGAGAGGAGAGGAGGAGGAGAGGAGGAGGAGAGAGAGAGAGAGGAGAGGAAGAGAGGAAGAGAAGAGAGAGGAGAGAGGAGAGGAGGAAGAGAAGAGAGGGAGGAGGAGGAGAGAGGGAAGAGAGGAGAGGAGAGGAGAGGAAGAGAGGAGAGAGAGGAAGAGAGAGGAAGAGAGGAGAGGAGGAAGAGAGAGGAAGAGAGGAGAGAGAGGAGAGGAGGAAGAGAAGAGAGGGAGGAGGAAGAGAAGAGAGGAGGAAAGAGAGGGAGGAGAGGAGAGAGGAGGAGAGAGAAGAGAAGAGAAGAGGAGAGGAAGAGAGGAGGAGGAAGAGAGGAGAGGAGAAGAGAGGGAAGAGAAGAGAAGAGAGGGAGGAGGAAGAGAGGAGAGGAGGAGAGGAGAGGAGGAAGAGAGGAGAAGAGGAAGAGAGGAGAGGAGGAAGAGAGGAGAGAGGAGAGGAGGAGAGAAGAGAAGAGAGGGAGGAGGAAGAGAGGGAAGAGAGGAGAGGAGAGGAAGGAGAGAGGAGAGAGAGGAGAGAGGAGAGGAGGAAGAGAGAGGAAGAGAGGAGAGAGAGGAGAGGAGGAAGAGAAGAGAGGAGAGGAAGAGAGAGAGGAGGAGAAGAGGAGGAGAGGAGAGAAGAGAGGAGGAGGAAGAGAGGAGAGGAAGGAGGGAAGAGAGGGAAGAGAGGAGAGGAGGAAGAGAGAGGAAGAGAGGAGAGGAGGAAGAGAAGAGAAGAGGAAGAGAGGAGAGGAGAGGAGGAAGAGAGAGGAAGAGAGGAGAGGAGGAAGAGAAGAGAGGAGAAGAGGAAGAGAGGAGAGAGAGAGGAGGAAGAGAGAGGAAGAGAGGAGAGGAGGAAGAGAAGAGAGGAGGAAGAGAGAGGAAGAAAGAGAGGAAGAAGAGAGGAGGAAGAGAGGAGAGGAGGGAGAGGAGGAGAGAGGAGGAAGAAGAAGAGAAGGAAGAAAGAGAGGAGGAACAGAGGAGAGGAGGAGAGGAGGAAGAGAGGAGGAGAGAAAGAGAGGAGGAAGAAGAAGAGAGAGAGAGAGAGGAGAGGAGGAGAGAGGAGAGAGGAGAGGAGAGGAGGAAGAGAGGAGGAGAGAGGAGGAGAGGAGAGAGGAAGAGAGGAGAGAAGAGAGGAGAGGAGAGAGAGAGAGAGAAGAGAGAGAGGAGAGAGAGGAGAGAGGAGGAAGAGAGGAGAAGAGAAGAGAGGGAGGAGGAAGAGAGGAAGAGAAGAGAGGAGGAGGAAGAGAGGACAAGAGAAAGAGAGGGAGGAGGAAGAGAGGAGAGAGAAGAGAGAGGAGAAGAGAGGAGAGGAGGAAGAGAGGAGAGAGAGGAGAGAAGAGAGGAGGAAAGAGGAGGAGAGGAGAAGAGGAGAGGAGGAGAGAGAGGAGAGGAGGAAGAGAGAGAGGAGGAAAGGAGAGAGGAAGAGAGGAGGAGGAGAAGAGAAGAGAGGAGGAAGAGAGGAGGAAAGGAGAGGAGGAAGAGAAAAAAGAGCAGAGGAGGAAGAGAAGAGAGGAGGAAGAGAGGAGGAAGAGAGGAAGAGAGGGAGGAAGAGGAGGAAGAGAGGAGGAAGAGAAAGAGAGGGGAGGAGGAAGAGAGGAGAGGAGGAAGAGAGGAGACGAGAGAGGGACAAAAGGAGGAGAGGAAAGAAGAGAGAGGGAGTAGAGGAGAAGAGGAAAAAAAGAGAGAAGGAAAAGAGGAGGAGAGAGAAGATTAGAGGAAGAGAGGAGGAGAGAGAGAGAGGAGAGAGGGGGAGAGGGAGTGGAGGAGAAGAGAGGGAAGAGAGAAGGAGAGAAAAGAGGAGAGAGGAAAGAGGAGAGAGGGAAAAGAGGAAAGAAGGGAGGCGAGGAGAGGAAAGAGGAGAGGGTAAGAAAAGAGAGAGACAGAGAGGGGGAGAGACGCGAAAGAGAAACAGAGAGAGAGGAAGGACAGAAGGAGAAGGAGACAGAAAAAATAAAGAGATAAGAGGAGAAGAGACAGAGAGAGAAAGAAAGAAAGAAAGAAAGGAGGGAAGAGGGGAGGACAGAGAGAGAGAGAAGGAAAGAAAGAGTTGAAGAAGTTAAAGACATAAATATTTAAAGGTAAAAAAGAGGAAGATAATAGTTTTCAAACCAAGAAACGTCCAAATTTTAAGAGCAAAAAATAAAAAATACGGCGTCTCTAATCAAATAATTTACACAACATTTACGATTAGACGAATAAAAATAAATTATTACACTTTTATTTTGTTAATTCGGTGTTTAAAGTGTCATAAAAATGTGTTTCTGGAGTGGAAATATTCTCCGTGTTTTGATGCTCCGATGACAGAAAATGAAGGATTCGTCTGCGCGACTCAGATCCTCTTCCTGAATTTTTGTGTGTTTCTTCTCAACGTTTTTTTCCACCAACTGTCACGAAACTGAAGTAAAAGTGTGAAAAATATTTAGCGCAGGAACGAGCCGCCAAACGAAACTGAAAAAAAAAAATCTAGGAAACAACCGAAACAACTCTGAAATATTTTACCCTGAAATTTGAACCTTAGATTTTTTTCGTGGGAGGGCATCTGACACAGTGGACTGGTTTGGTTTGTGTTTGCAGCAGTGAGGAACGATTTACAGCAGGACTAAACCAGGACTAAACCAGGACTAAACCAGGTCTAAACCAGGACTAAACCAGGACTAAACCAGGACTAAACCAGGACTAAACCAGGACTAAACCAGGTCTAAACCAGGACTAAACCAGGACTAAACCAGGACTAAACTAGGACTAAACCAGGACTAAACCAGGACTAAACCAGGACTAAACAGGACTAAACAGGACTAAACCAGGACTAAACCAGGACTAAACCAGGACTAAACCAGGACTAAACCAGGACTAAACCAGGACTAAACCGGGACTAAACTAGGACTAAAACCAGGTCTAAACCAGGACTAAACCAGGACTAAACCAGGACTAAAACAGGACTAAACCAGGACTAAACCAGGACTAAACCAGGACTAAACCGGGACTAAACCAGGACTAAACCAGGACTAAACCAGGACTAAAACCAGGTCTAAACCAGGACTAAACCAGGACTAAACCAGGACTAAAAAGGCAAGAATAAAACTGGACTAAACCAGGACTAAACCAGGACTAAACCAGGACTAAACCAGGACTAAACCAGGACTAAACCAGGACTAAACCAGGACTAAACCAGGTCTAAACCAGGTCTAAACCAGGACTAAAACAGGACTAAAACAGGACTAAAAAGGCAAGAATAAAACTGGACTAAACCAGGACTAAACCAGGACTAAACCGGGTCTAAACCAGGACTAAACCAGGACTAAAACAGGACTAAACAGGACTAAAAAGGAAAAGGACTAAACTAGGACTAACCAGGACTAAACCAGGACTAAACCAGGACTAAACCAGGACTAAAAAGGCAAGAATAAAACTGGACTAAACCAGGACTAAACCAGGACTAAATTAGGACTAAACTAGGACTAAGCCAGGACTAAACCAGGACTAAATCAGGACTAAATGAGGACTAAACCAGGTCTAAACAAAGACTGAACCAGGACTAAACCAGATCTAAACCAGATGTAAACCAGGACTAAACCAGGACTAAACCAGGACTAAACCAGAGCTGAACCAGGACTGAACCAGGTCTGAGCGTGGAGTTCTGCGTTGGTCTTTTATCTCGCGGTCACACGACGGTCTACGCGGGTGTAAAGAAAATGTGTCGGTTTTTAAAGAATAATAATAATCTGCGTCGTCAGGGTCAAACTATTCTGTTACACGACCGACCCCGACCTCATCACAGCCCGGAGCGAGACTGTGGCCCCCAAACAAAAAAGTTTGGTGACCCTGTAAGTAAATTTTAAGTTAAAGTAAAAAGAGGTTCTATTCTACAATAACGTCGTTCAGATCTGCATCAGGTACAAGGATTTGAATAATTATTTACAAAAAACGAGCAAAAACTTTAGTTCAGGAAAAACAGGGAGGAAGCAAAAGGTGGACTGGAACAGACTGAGAAATGGAGCTGGACTCTCGGCAACAACACGTCACTGCTGAAGTTATTCATCTTATTCAAGTCGACCTGAGTATAAGTCTACGTTCAGACTGCAGGGCTTAACGCTCAATTCTGATTTTTTTTGTGAAATCCGATGTTTTTTCGAGGTCGTTCACATTTCCAATTAAATGTGACTTGTATGTGACTCCAGTGTGAACATTAAACGGCCCAAAAGTGTCCCACATGTGACACTGGAGACACGACGACGTCAACCGCAGCGAGCGTCTCTGTGTTTACGGAAGTTGTCCGAACATGGACGCAGCATCGAGCACCTGGAGATTTTAAAGTTCCTCTCGTACCGGAGCCAGAACATGAACAACTTACTTGTTTTAAGGAGGAGATTGAGAAGGAGAAGGACGAGGTTTTTGGTCGTGGTGTTTTGTGGGACAGAACGTTAAAAGGAACGTGTGGATGTGGAGACGGAGCCAAGAGTGGTGAGTGGTGATGTGCTTCACTTCAGTGACACAGAGTTCATTAACAATTTTCGTATAATGAGAAGAACGTTTGTGTACATTTGTGAGCGCCGACTTGTGCCACTCTCGCGGGAGGAAACACATCTTTGATGGATTATTTCCGTGAGCAAACGCGTCGCTGTTGGGCTGTATTGGCAACAGGTGCTTGTTACTGCACAATAGCCAACCTCTTTGTCATAGCCGAGTCCACCGTGTGATAACGTGCAGG